TCAGATAAAATATTCACTGTCAATGTGACATCAGCTACACAGAAATGAATCTTTCTGTAACCTGGATACCGGCATGTCTCAGGGTATATGATAAATAGGATTAGATACTGAACCATGTTGATTTATTGCTCAATGCACGGGGTTAAATGGATGGCCAGATTTGAGGATACTATTATTTATTTGTATTACAATAGTACCTAGAGACCCCAGAAAAGACTTTGTCCCAGGTTTTGTACATACACCTGATAAGAGACCTGAACAGGTTACAATCTAAATAGACAAAACAGACATAAGGGGGTTGGGACCAAATTGTTTTCTACTTCAAGGATCTTAGAAGTTTTCACCTTCCTATGGAAGGGCATCTGTCAGCAGGTGATTGAGTAGTGGCTTGAACATGTTTCCTTCTTTTAAATCTAGGCCAAAGATATTTTTTGTTCAATTCAGGTCAGACGGTTCAAAAAACAAATAGTGCTCTGCTCCCTGGACTCATCCACGATCCAAGCTGCATCCCCTAATGATACTACTCATAGTACCTTCTCGCAGTAGACTGTCAAGCTCTTCATACTCTGAGCATCACTCTTCTTTTGTGCATTTTGGTCAGTAATGAAACAGTTTAAAAAGTTGACAGGTAAATTACTATCACAAGGCTGCAGAGCTACCATGTCACTGAAATGACATAGGTACATTACAGGCTCTCTGCAGACTCAGAGCCCACGTTTCCATTAACCTTTTCTGTGAGCTGCTGAGCATCCCTTGTGAGGTGCTGTTACCCTCACCGCCTACTGGCTTAGAGTATCTACCACACATTTGAATGATGTATAAAGAATATCTATAATAAACATGATTATTGCATTGCTTCACGTTTTAAGGGTTTCTTTGCACCCATGGGGACTAGATTTTTTTTTTTTTTAAACAAAAGCTTAAATTTTGGGATATAAGATGGCAGTCACCAGCACACTGCAAGCCAGTCCAATTCAGCCCCTGCTGCTATCACACTCAAATATTTGAGATGCTAAATCACTGTTTGTAAATTGCCACAGGCCATGCATGGAATGAAATGGACTTCGGAAGTGCAGTTTGATCAACTCATTTAAACTAAAAATGAATATGAATACTGTAAATCAAGCTTTCATTTATGTAGCATTTAAATTAGTATTATGCTAAATCCAGAATAGGTAATGCCAGCAAATATCACATATTACTGTGCAATACAAAAATGCTTTGGGGACTATTGAATATTGTTCCTTGGCTTTAAAACAGATGAATTCATCAGTTCATTGAGAATTAATTAACCCCATGTATAGATAATACCAGACAAAAGGGAGACCATCATAGAAATAGAGATGTAAACTCCTCAATTGATTAAATAATTACAGTTTGAGGGGGAAGCAGGGTTTTAAATATATTCTCTTTCAGCTTTCACAAAGTTGGCCCCAATCCTACCAGCTACTGCATACAGGCAAAGGGGATTGCCTGCTAGGATCCAGCTGTAGGATCAGGGACTTGTTTTCCAAATCTCATTCATTTCACACTGCCCTTAACATTTGGTAACATCAAAATCCGACTCCCTGGGCTTAAATCTTGACTTCAGAACTCTTCGCTTAGTTAACTAATGCATATATCTAAAATGATACAAATACACTTTTTGACATTTCCTATTTATTTATTGCTTTTTCTTTCTTCTATACACCAAGGTATAAGGGTTTTCTGGGGAAAATCTCTTGTTTTATATTGGTCCGTGTGAGGATTTAAGTCCCTTGTTACAGGGCAACGCAGCCTAGTGGCCAGAGTCCATAGAACCGCCCCAGGTTGCAGGGCAGCACAGCCT